CTCGCATGTTAGGCGCAATGCGACGCTTCGATAACCGAAAGCGTACGGTATAAATGGATGAGAGAATCACGGGGAAAGGAGAACGAAGCTTGCGCAAAACTGTCAACCCTGTGTAGCGGACAGCTTGCAAGCTAGTTTTCAATAGTATGCGGCCAGGAGGATGACACGTCTACATAAGCCTGAATTAACAAGGCAACTTTCATAGCCTAGATCACCAGAATCAAGGCCCTATCATTCTCATATGACTCTTACAGGGTTCCTTGTTACATGCAAAAACGCCTTGTTGAAAAATGACAACCATTACTTGCTTCTGCATGCATCTAGGCCTCCGGCCTTTGTTGCTCACACGATTTGCGCAGTGCACACCCCCCCTTCGCCTTGAAACCAAATCTGAAACCGGAATGTATCCCTATCCGGGTTTAGGCTGAGCCCCTGAAGTCCTGAAGGCCAGCCCTAAATCAGACCCCAAACCAGCCTGCTCCCCCTCCATCATTACGTTTGAGCGCGTTGCGTCCGCGGACGGCGTCTGGTAGCAAGGCTTTATCAAATTTGGTGTTTCCAAGAGCAGGAATCCCCAGGTTCTACAGGAGTACTGTTGAGACACTCCCATTTCAGTTCTGCAGGGCCTGAAGGCGCAGAGTTTCGAGTTCAGGGCTTCTAGAGCCTAAGCCCTATTTTTACGAAATGCTACTCAACCAAATACCTTGTATCCAAAACCCTGCGCCTTGAACAGCTTAAGTGCAGGCGTTAGGATCTATGTATTTCTGACGTCTTTGGGCCCAAAAACCTTGTGATTTAGGAGCCTATAATACATATCGGCATATGAATCTCTAAAGCTGAAGGTTTTGGTTTGGGGGCCCAAGTAGTCTGTGTAGAATTCTGTTCTTGTGGTTGGGAAGTTTGCGCATTTTGTGAGTCGACAGGAGATTCCCTATTCGGCTAGGTACCCATTACTTTGGTGCTTTGGAACTTAGTCTTGTGGTAGTAACCATTGTGGTCTGGACTTTTGGGAAATGATGTGGTTGATAGGTACTGGGTCGCTTAGTGCTTAACTGTTCTGACACGTAGGGCACATTTTCGGTATGAAGTGTCAGTATGAGTCGCCCTTCCATGTTATCCTGCGTTCAGAGACCTCTACGTGCTAGAGCCTGAACCCCTATGCCAAACCCTAAATCCCTAGGCCTGTATACTGCCCTATAGAACTCCAGTCGCAATTCATGTTTGATTGTCTTTTGCCATGTGAGTCGTGCTTAATTTGAACATTTGATGGTTGAATCAGGTACGATCATATCCTTCTTGTGCAGCGCTATAGTGCTATACGCAAAAGGAGAATAGGATTTCATTCTCTACTTGGTACTACACCATCCATATTAATAGTGCGACCCCTTTGAATCTCCATGATTATAGTATATAAGCAAGTCACCATTGCATTATGCATGTTTTCTTCTTCATAACAGAGCCCCTAAAACCCTACATATCCCCGTAATTCCCTGTATATTTCTATATGCACCTTCAATGGCACCGCATTCTCGCCCCGAGGCTCCTAAATTCAATTCCCTAAATCCCACTCACAGGGCGACTAGGCCTGCTTTTGTGCTCGCGGAATACCACCACCTTTGAAGAAGAAGTTCCCCACTGCTTGGAGGCCTGCCGAGGTTTACAGATTACAGCTATATTGGGATAATGGAAAAGAATATGGAAACTACTATAATGGGTTATATAGGTTTAGGGTTTAGGATTTAGAGTTTCGGATTTGTTCAGTCAGGGGTATCTGAAGCAGGGTAACTACAGTTATAACCTCGGTAAGGATACTGATCGCCCTGCTTATAACTGACCTAGCAGGGTTATAGGTGATCTACGACTGCCCTGCCTACTACATTGATCCTGAATGCCATGTGTCCAGATTTGTGGGTCCGAGGCAGACCCTGAACCCTAAACCCTTGAACCCTTACCCCAGCAACCTGAAACTCTGAATCCCTAATATGCCCGTGATGCCAAAAACCTATAGTCCCCCTTCAGTAGATAAAATATGGCTTTGGGCATAGTACAATACGATCCCCATATACCCCATATTTTATCTACTTAAGGGGAACTATAGACCCGAACTCTCCCTGAATGCCAAATCCTCATTACCCTCAACTTCATCCTGAATCCTTAAGCGCCAAAGTCTCTCAACCCTTCTTCCCAAAACCCTAAATCCCTTAATTCCTGACCCCACACCCTGAATACACTGAATCCTAGCCCCCTGTAATCCATCTAACCCCTACATAAACAACCCCCGTAATCCCACCTACACTGTAGACTGTAGACCCCTGCATTCCTCTCCTCGACTGAAAGCCCAAACAGACGGTCTGCCTGTCGGTGGGTCTGGGACCTTCGAGTAGCTGGGATTGCCTTGGCTCCAACTTCAACAGGGATATGATTTGGGGGTATATACCCAAAAGCCTCGAACCCTAAAATCACTGAATCCTCATCTTTGATCCCTTTTCCACTAAAAATGCCCCCCTGCTCGCTCCTGCTTCACCAGCGATTTAGGGATCGAGGCTAGACGCTTACTGGGGCCTCAACGGCCTAGGGTCAGTGGCTAAGGGACGAGGGTTCTGTGGGGTGTGCGCTTGAAGTTGGGGGTTTAGGGCTGAGGGGCTCAGACAGGGTGAGTGTGGTTTGTGAGGTTCTGTTTCTTTAGCTAGAAACTGAGAATGAGGCTCAGGGGCTGGAGGCCTCTGGTGTAAAGCTCCGGTGCTGGTGTCAAAACATGTTGGTTCATCCAGACTTTCTCTCCACCAGCAGCACGATAACTTCAACGATGTTTGCCGAACATGCCCTAAAATGCACCTGTGACTTTTCTAGTGTAAGTGATGTAACTTTGGAACAGAGGCTTTGCCATAGTTTGGTATCCTTACCATTTCAGGGGTGCCAGGTTGTTATAGGTAAACCCTGAACGTTGAACCCCCTTCACGGTCAGGCCCTGTGAGCTGCCTGCTGCGAAGCCTGCCTTCCACGATGTTGCAGCAAGACGTCAGAGCAAATACTAACAAGCATTTGTACTGCTACGATTACAAATACACCCGACTGCGGTTATTACCGTTTTGGTGGAGCTTGCGCAGCTTTCAGGCAGCAATAGAAGAGTACATTGCTCAGCAATTGTAGTTGGAGTCACCGCGCCTGCTGACCATTCCCCTATTCGGAATCCCGCCGCTAAGCATGACGAACCAGAGACGTGCCCCCTGCTTCATCCATCTTACGTTGAAAACCAAGAAGCACGACGCCAAGGATCAACAAGTAAGGTAAATGCCACGGCACGAGCCCGAAATTGCTGGGTTAAGGGCTATATTATATATATATATATTTATATATGGGATAGGGTCTTCAATGACCGTATTGCCTTGCCCCCAATGACACATTCCGCCAGAGGATACCCAAGGAATGAGGGGGCATGGCGGGTTTGCAGAATAATTCCAAGAAACAATCGGCCATGGGTCAATGCGAAGTAGGAGGACATAGGGTGAAATTAGCCCCAGGAACAATCCTTGTAAGTCCGTTGGCAAGTATGGTACTCACAATGAACCGAATAATCCGATTAACGCTGTATTTGCCTTATCTAACCTGCCGACTAGGGCTTAGCGCTTCACAAAATGATACAAGTGATATATGCCTCTTTTGTAGCACTTCTATGGTAATATACAGTTCAGTGCTGTTCAAGGTCTAGAGTCTAGAGTATCTCAAACTGATAGGTCCCTTGTCAGGAGCCTGCAGAAGATATGGGGTTCAGGGCTCTGCATGCTCTCAAGGGCATGAATTCCATTTGGGCTATTTTGCAAACAGGACCTCCATTTTGCGAAGCACCCGGTTCTGACCCGTTTCTGATACTGCGGAAACCCTTGCCTATGTATCCTAGCGTTTCCACATGTATGCACCAAAAATAGAATACACAAGTCCTCTCTGCTCCATAATGACTACTGGATGGCCGCAAATCTTGCGGATTATGCAGGGAGCTCCGTACAGATCCATCCCTCACTTAGAAACAAAGGATCATCAGTTCTAGGACCCTGTCATAAATACAGATGTATCAAGATTTAATGTGTCCTACGACTAATGGTCTTTCGGGTCAAGGCATTCGCTACGAAGCACCCGGTAGATTGCCCAGATACCCTTCTCCGTGCACTCCACGCGGATGATCTGAAAAAGCCAGACAATTGCATTTCTTTGGTCTTGATGTACCGTCAGTAACTCCGCATATTGTGAAGAAAACGAGCCATATTTGGGGCTTGCACGTATATGGGGATGTTGTTATGGTGTAGGGTCTAGGGTTCCTCGTTTCGACCTTGGCAGACCCTGTGGTCAGTAACGCTTGGAGAACTACTATCATAGAACTACCAGTTGTAGGGATTTTTATTGAGGTTGACAAATGGACCAAGCACCCAATGAGCAGCATTCGAAAGAGTTTACATAATTCTATCTGCCGAAGGATGATACACTGGCCGCGTCGCCAGCTTAAAGCAACTGTACTTCAACAAGAGAGTCATAGGCTGTGTTCTTAAGCTTGGGATCCCTGCAACTGTCTGGGGGATGTAGTGATTGCCCAAGATGAATGAAGAACCCCCAAAAGGTCCTACAAAATTGCTCTCGAATTGCGCTACACGCCCTAAGGCTACAAAGTCATCTAAGTGTCAAGATTCGCAGGAGTAGCAGTCTTTGCTCATACTCGGTCTCCGGTCAACTGAGTGGGCGGTCAAGCCCCAACCTTAAGCGCAGAAGCCATGATCCCGGGATCTTGGAAAAGGTTTCTTTGGGTCCAGGAGTGCGAGGTATGCTGAAGAGTTTGCTATGTGAATCACACCATCCTCCGCGCCAAGTAGTCCGCCATCTTGGCACACGCCCGTAATGACAATTATGCCACATGAGATTAAGAAGAACAGAAACACTTCTGATGACTGCTACGACAAGCAAGACGGACAGAAGTCATCAATCCGAGCAAGACAGCTCCGAACACGTCCGTCCTTGCATTTGGAATCCTCGCCCGCCGTCGCAATCTCGAAAGTGTTGCCTGCGCAGCAGACTAATTCGTTTCATGGGTGTGAGCATAGGAGACGGTCATGTTGGGCTCCCAGTCTTCCTGACCTCCACGTCCTAAATCCCAAACCTGAGATCTGAACCGGAAAGTCTGAGCCCGAAATCCGAAAACTCAGGCACCCTGGAGTCCCCAGACTTCATACCCTCAAAACAAAAAGCCCGGACCCTACACCCTGAATTAACTTCGGGTAGATTTCTACGGACCGCGAAATCTGACCAAACTCACCAAAACCTGCGAGAAACCTTATCTCATGCAACAAGATGGAACTTACCTTTAGGAGTCTGCAGTATGCTGATTTTTAAGGTGCCCACTCTAGTTTTGAAATCCTTGGCTCAAGGATCTTGCTTTGCGTCTTTCCTCCTGATCTAAATAGTACGTGCCTTGCAACACAACCCCAAGATTGGTTCATTCCTAGGATACTGTTGACTGTATATACATCTATGCCTTTTTCGGCGTGTCGTGTATAAAGATACGTCTGAACAACAGCCCAAAACACGGCAGTCCAGAGGCATTTACCTCCCTTGTAACCAGCATCACATGCGCAGACCGTGGTGCAGCCAGCTTGCTCTGTTGAAATACCTACTAGGTATTTGATGGTGTCAGAATGTGAGCAAGATGCCGGGATTCTGTTTTCTACGCTGCTGCCCATTCTCTGCCTTTACGTTAAGCCTGAGGCCCAGCGCTTTTTGTCTTCAATTGCCTGCTCCCATCTTCAAGGCCATTACGTCTTATCTCCTACATCTTCTTGCGACTACCCCGGCACTCGGGCAAAACAAAACTACCGTGCTGGGTTCAGGCCGCTATTACATGAAGTTGCAATAGTTCCACACACACACAGATATACGTAAAAATATGTGTATATATATATGTATACATATATGTATATGTATATGTATATGTATATATATATAAACAAACAAACACCTGAAGACATATACACACCTAGTCCCTATTCCCACGCCTTCTTCCTCTTCTTTGCTGTAGAGGGCTCCAACTGACAGGTCCTGTGCCAGGTGAGTGCAACTTGAGATAGACCTACCGGCAGGCTAGCATAAAACTACAACAAACGAACCTAAAAAGACCACTGTCCAACTTTTTAAAAGGACCATAATATGAGTTTCCATATTAGCATGGTCCCTTCATATTTTAGGCTTGTGGGCCCTACCTATCAAGGGCGCACCTACACGGCCCCTGGGGTCTATGGAAGGTTTGAAAGTATGTACCATCAACTCATTCAGGTATCTGAGGCTATAAGCCAGCATTGATTTGCGGTAGCTTTCTGGATTATTCAGTCTTGTTGCATTTGATGGACCTCACACAAACACATGAATGCAAAATTTATTCAATTCACAGCCCTTAAGGCTGGTTCTCTGTCTCTCCTCGATCTCAGATATCTGGTCGACAAACTTGGATTCTTACTGGGTGCGTGTTTCATATTCGGGCAAAGGATTCGCGTCTATTGGGTGCTTGAGTATCCCTAGGGAGATTCAAGCGCAGAATGCCTATGGATGACTCATAGGCACACCTGACACGTCGTGATAGAAACCAAGCGTAATCCCAACCGCTTGCCCTGCAGCCTGAGCTGGGATTCAGCTTCACCTAAGCCCTCCTCTTATTGTTTGGTAGGTTCGAAACGGGGCCGTGGGTTGAAAGCCCCCATGTGTGAAGGATACCCCAAAATGAACAGCCCATGATTTTGCAACCACCAAATTGACTTGATGGTTCTGAGGTCGCGCACGTTAATCATGCCGTCGTGAAGCTTCATGATCCGCTTGTAAGAGCATTTGATCACTGCCGTGCCTTGGGGATGCTTGTGCCTTGTGGTTTAAGGATGTACTGCCCTAAGCCCAGAGGGGAACTACAGTACAGCAGCGCCTGTAATATGTACTGCTGAGACTGAAAGTCCGGCATGGCCCTAGGTACCGCCATACCTTGATGACTGTGATTTTTTGGTGTACGAAAGTCATGGGAATTCTCAGTATCCACGGGCATATCTCTGCGCTGGGGACCTGCGCAATCATATCATGAGTAATTCTGTCTAATGCGACGAAAAGTAGGGTGACTATAGCTATGGCCGCAGCTAGGCTATCAATCCTACTTTTCAATACCCATGGACCTTCAAGCAAGCTCAGAAGCCAAATCCCCAGAAGCCCTGGAGGTATGAGTTTCCAGTTGATTTCTGACTTTCTGTTCTGTTTCATTCTCCCTTATAAGCCCCTGAACATCCCTCAACCCTAAACCCCATGCATCATCGCCCTGAGCATTCGATGCATTGCTACCCATGAACCTCCATGTATCTCACCACCCTTCAAGAGATGTATGGTATTTTCTGGGTCCTTCATTGCTGCCACTGCAGCACCAAGTCTGGGCCTTTCACTACATAGAGCTCTTAGAACTGTCCTGGGCCCTGCGGGGCAAGGCTTGGGCTTTGTGGACTAAGGTTGGGCTTTCACTATCGCTCCAACAGCTTTCAACGCTTTAGGAAAACTTGTTCATTTAAGGGTTTTACGTAGTTTGTGGTGCAGAACTCGGGAGTTTGCTGCTTCGAGTGTGAGTGTATGTCTATTACCACCTCACCTTCTCCCCACAAGCATGTTCTACTTCTTGAATTTGCCGCCCTTGTCGCCTGCACCCAACAACCCTGAACTGTAAACCCTAAACCCACCGCACTGACTCCAGCAGTCAGGGTGCCCATCTCATCCTCACCACCGTAGAGGTCAAGGAGGTAGAAGTCCCCATGAGCATTCCTTGGAGGTTTAGGATGAAGGGTGGTTTAGGGTCGATGCCCCAAACCCGGATCTTGCTCCTGCGGGAAGACAGGCGGGACACTCACAGCCTTTTCTGGAATCAGATAGGTTTCGACATAAGTTCAAAATCCCATGTGTTAACATGTGTCTGCGTGTCTACATACGTAACGACAGACTAACCCAAACTTCAACAACAACTTGAAGGGATTGTGAGTCATTAGCTTCACACGGGTTATAGGTTGATGCCGTTCCTACCAAAGCTCTAAACCCAAAATACACCTCGAATGCTTGACCCTCTGGACTCATCATCCTAAGACTTGACTCACGTGACCCCGCAATTTCCTACGCCGAAAGCCCTGCCCTCCAAGGGAGCCCCATGGTCGAAAACTTTATTATGATTTGAGGGAGTTGCAGGGAGGCCTTAAAAACTTCTTATAGGGACTCCTTTGTTACGGGTGCACCTTGTATGCCATGGCTCCCACTTGCAATGGGCCCGTTTCGCATCTTCTCGTCTGAGAAGGGGTCGTTCCAACGGGAGCCTACAGAGCGTTGCAGGTGAAGCGACTCTAACTTACTGGCGGATACTAGGGAAGGGAAATGAAGAAGGAAACTACGTGGTCATAGACGAGGATTCTAAATAGCCCTAGCTAGGTACTTATAGCCTTTAGGGCAAGCTAGGTCCTATTTGCAGATTGTTAGCCTAAGCACAAGACTTCAGTACGGCACAGTAGATTTTTGGATTTAGCGGGGGATGTAGCCTTTACAATATACGGTTCAGGATGTAGGTTTGGAGTCTCGGGATCAGGTTTCAGCTAGGGTTTAGGCTTCATGGTTTCACATTCAGTTTAGGCACCACGTTATTTAAATAAGTTCTGAGATAAATGTGAACCAAACCCTACTGATCTCACTTAGGCCCCTCAGGACATCCAATGAAACAGACCTGCTAGAGCGGCCTTAGGGTTTAGGGTAGGGCGCTTATCTTATATTTGCTAACACAACATGGGACTGTCATAACTTATCGATATGCATGCCTGTGAAGCTTGGGGCCGATAGCAGGACCCCTGAGCGCTCAACATTCCTGAGCTACACAAACACACACATGACAAACAATATAAGCGTGTTGCAAGGTGCGGGAACTGCCTGTTTTCATACACGCTTATACCGTACCTGTTGCGTACCAGAGCACAGAAATGTAGAATCCCAAGCCCAGATGAGATGGTTGAAGGGTACACCTACTCTTGAATAGTTGGGAATGGGGGCATTGCAAGGATGTTTGCCGGGGACTCTGTAAGACCTCGAGGGGTGTGTCGGTGGATTTCTGCTTACAATCTACAGAGGCAAGGGGTCTCCTTTGCAACAGGACCCAGCCATGCAGGGAATAATGTTTGTTTAAGGGGCTAAACCCCTAAACGCTAAACTCTACTCCCCTGAGCCCTGAACTTTGGACCCTTACACCCTGAATGAAGTTTTCCGGAGGCAAGGGGCTAAGCGGTGCGACGGCGGTGATGCCTGCAGCTTGCAGCTACTTGCATGTAGTAACCTAAGGAATCATCTCTGCACATTGTAAATATGTAAAGGTTGAGAAATGAGGGCGCTTAAGGACCATGGTTAAGGGATGAGCATGGATTATGGATTTACTTGAGAGGGTGACGGTGGGGATGGGTTTAGGGTTGAGGGTGCAGAGCTGAAGGCCAGTGAGCAACCAAACTCCTTGTTTGGGGGGTTTCCGTTCAGTGTGCCAGAACTTTGAACATGGTTAACAGGCCTACAAGTTTGTTGATCTTTCAAGTTTGAGCATCACATGACTGTGTTAGGACACTTGTTCTAGGGGTTGGAAGTGGTAAGCCTTCTTCCATAGACAAATATTTGCTACTCCTTCGTGCCGATTGTTTAGCCTAAGCTGCCTGTAGCAGCTAGTCTCTGGCTAGCTGGGCTTCTAGGCTCTCAGGTGGCTTTGCGTAGCGGCGTAGCGAACTGTACTGTACCCAGACACCCGCAGATCGCCTAAGATGATGTGCAGGACATTTTAGGAATGGATTTAGTTCGATCCTCTCAGGGATCTGGGTCTTTGGGAGAGTATTCTCCCATCCCCTGGCCGCCATATTGGATAGCAGTATTCCACAAGAATCAGATCCAACATAGACCCTTGGATCTCCTCAATCACCCAGTTCCCTCTTCAGGTGTGAATACTGATACCATACCCAAATCTCAATCTCGCACATACCTAAATCCTAACCTCCCAAGCCTCACACCTTAAACTCCCAAACCCTAAAACCCCATGTGTATAGATGCGTATATCATCTCTATACATCCGCCATGTAACCGTATTCTAATAGTTTCCGTTACATATCATATTTGAACCCCCAAACCCAATGCCAGGCCTCGATCCTTGTGCATTGCATCGTCCCAGTCGATCTCTTTGGGGAACGCCTTGACTTGGAGTTAGTCGTTAGGGTCTAGGGCTTAGGGGCTTGGGAGAGTTTTGGGCCGAGGGGAGGTTAAGGGTTGTGGGCTTAAGAGGGTTTAGAAGGAGTTGGGGTTTAGGCTTGCCAGCGAGGCACGTAGGAAGTATGAGCACAGGTGAGTGTAGAAGTCGTCTGATACACGGATCTGCGTCGCGGCTGCAGATGGCAGGAGCGAACATTTAGAGCTTTGGTGAATCGTGTGCGTGTGCACGTGCCTTGCAAGATGGGGCGGGCCCAACGCCACCTTGGCAGCCTCAAACGCGTCACTCGACCGACTGGGTCGTTTAGGGAGTGGGCATCTACATGTTGCCTGCACACTTGATAATGATTATGGGCCAAGGAAATGTCGAAGTCTTGTGAAGAAACGTTGGTCGGACGAAGCCTGGCTTGGGTTTAGGGTCTCCAGATTCTTCTGCTATACTTTCAAGGAGTCCCACTTAACCCCAACCTGTAAGCCTCCCGAGACCCCAACACCCCTAAAACGACGAAACACGCCAAAAACCGAAACCCCCAACCTCAACGCCTAGAATGCTGAACTAGACCCTATGCCCACAACAAACCTTGAACACCCTAAAGCTCCTCAACACTGCTCCCTGAAATGTCAAACCGCGAGCCCCACACACTCCGAAGCAAGCCTCTAAAGTAAACTCCCACTCCTAGGCTCTAATTTGGAAACCCCTAAACCCCAGACTGGGTTGCTGTTAAGGAGATCAACAAGCTTATCGTCATAAGCAAGCCCTGAGTGTTTACTATTTCCTTATCCTGGTATTCATGTTGAAGTCAGTAAATCACTCTAGAACCGATCCATAACCCCAGTTTCCAGTGTCATTTATCATTCTCTTCTCCATTTGATTCTCCACTGTAACCCTAAACCCTACATCTAAACCGCGTCAAATTCCTTGACGCCACCTGCGACATTCTGGCTTCAGACGGGCGGCGATCTCCCACAGAGATTGAAAGATGCCGACTTCAGGCTCCTTCGTCGCCACAGTAGCTACATCTGGAACTTAGGACGAGGGATATAGATAGATAGATAGATATATGCGTATATATATATATACAAAATGTATATATGTATATACATGCATTTATTTGGGGGAATCTATAGGGATATAAAGAGATATCTACTCAGGACTTAAGGGTTGTAGAATGGATGAGGTATAGAATCACGGGTGAATTGAAGAAATGAAAGCCACAATGGGGTCTGACGGCTTCGGATTTAGGATGTTCGGACTTACGGCTTCGAATTGGAGGATTTGTTTCGTAGTTTCCCTAAATAAGGGGACCCAAATATAGACCCCAAAATACTATGATCCATAGTATGGGGACCCCCAAAAGGGTTCCCCTAATTTTGGGAAACCCCCATTTAGGGTTCGGAGTTAGCAGTCAACATGCAGGAAGTTGGGCTCAGGGGTTGCAACATAAGCTTTGAGTGATTAGGGTCTAGGGTGTCGGGCTTGGGGTTTGGAGGATTGAGTGAGTCCACATATGACCTGAAACTGAAGTTGAAATTTCTGCAACTTCAAAAGGGAATGGACTTGTGCTTGTACATTCCTTCTGGAGTTTAACCTTTTCAACCTTCCCTTTGAAAGGCTCCTTTAGAGGCACTGGCGGCGTTTGCTCGAGGCTTGCGAACAGATCCTGAGAACGCAGCGATCTGGGTCAAAGGATCTAAAGGAAGACAATGTGCGGTTTAGGGGCTTCGGTGTATGTTGGAAGGGTAAGGGGATATTAGAATCACTTTGGGTTTGAGGTTTCATTCTGCGCTCTAGCTTTTGGACGTAAGGCAAGTGGGGCCCTAAGCAATTGTAAGTTTACCTTGTCTTGAAGGTCTGGAGTGTAGGCTTCAGACTTTAGTCTCTGGAAGGTCCACGGACCCAAATTGCTTGTCAAACCGGAAATCTTAGGGGCCATTCTGTGGGATGCCCTTACAAAACCTGTAGGGAAAGTTTGACAATCTTCCGACTAGCATGTACTTAGCCGCCTATAAGATCTGTACGGGAAACCTGCTGAGACCAAAGGCTATATGATATCGTTATTCGGGTACTTGGAGGATGCTCGCCGAATTCGGCAACCCTGTAGGACTCTTCCGAGCCTATGTGAGGCTTACTCTAGGGGTTCGGGATCTACTGTTGATGCAGGAGGCCTTGCACCTATCTGACAGGAATAATTGCACAGTTAGAGGGCTAGAGGCAAAGTTCCCTCCATCAACAAAATGTCGGTATATGAACCGTTTAGGGTTGGGAAGTTCAGAGCATGTGGGTCTCACAGATGTCTCAACATTGAGCAAACTTCCACATCTGTAACATCCAAAGTCTGGTCTTAGAACCTGCGGCACGGGGTATAGTTGAACAAGTCGTTCCGCAGCTCACGCCTTTGTTTGCGGGAGATTCTGGGCGCTCCCCTCCGGGATTCTCATAGCACTAGTAATCGTAGTCACATCACAGAGATTAGTTTCTAAAACTCCTACATGTGGCGAACTCTGACCCAGCACTCCTTTGCATCAATCCGCGTGGCCCCTGGCCCAGATCTGATCTAAAGCCTCACCCCAACCTGCCTAGTCCTACCAACAAACGGACAGGAGTAGCAAAACAGGGGAATGAAGGAACGGATCCCTGTGGTAGTCTCTAGAACCTCTGGAAGGGTCTCCTTAACCGCCTCCAATTTACCCTGCCAAACACTAGGGACCAAGATAAACCCTGTAACCACAAACATGCCCCTGGAACCCTAAACCGTTTACTCTGCAAGCGGAAACTCACAAACCAACATGGGAACCCACACAAACCTTACAAAGACTATACTGCTTGGTGAAGCCTAGAATGCTCCAGAAAGTCCAGACAATTCCTATAAAGCCCTGCACACTGAATGTCCTGCTATTCTGTGTGCATCTCTACACAATCCCCGCAATTACATTGTTGCTTCGGGAGGGGAAACAAATTCATAACTGCAAGGAACCCTGACAACTCAGGCTTTAGGCTTGGAACGTTTGGTTTACTTGGCTTGGACCCAGAATTCCTTCATTTCAAGAATTGCATAGAAAGATCTCTCCAACAGGGTTCAAGAACTGCAGAGTTTTTGCGTCAAAGTAGGGCTTGTTTTATGTAACGCCACGAGCGACTCCTCATAAACCGCACTGGCAACCACTTTACGCATGGATTCCGCGCAGCGACTGGGCCACGAGTTCGCAGAGGGCTCCTGCCGGTTTTGCTGCCATCGCAGTCTGGCTACGCCGTCTGATGAAGAGGAACCGACATTGCGAGGCATCTTAGCACGATGGCCGCAAAGCATCCATGCCCAAACCATAGTAAACTCCATGCTGGAGTGCATCTGACAGAAAACCAGAGCATCTATGACCAAAGCATAAGTGCGACGGCCGACGCGACAGCCCAGAGCTCTTCAGGAAGTTGCAGCAGTATGTCTCCCGGTGCTGCAACCAAGGCAAGAGTACCTTTGCCATCCTTTGCCTGTACAGGCGAACTCTTCCGCTGACGATTTTTGCAGCCGGCCGAAAGCTTCGAACATGAGACTCCTGGAATATCGTAGTTTTGCGCACATTTAGCTTGCATTGGCGCCATTCCTGTGCGCAAACAGGCAGGAGTTATTCGTGGCCACGTAACCTTGTTTTAGGACAGCGGGTTCTTTGGATCCTAAGCGCACAAATTCTGGGGGATCAAACAATTGGTGGTTGAATGCAGAGAGCCGTAATCTGAAGCCTATGAATGCTCCAGAACATGTCACACGCCAATTTTTTGGCAGTTCAACTTTGGAGCTGAGGATCATCAAATCCTGAATATTTGTGTTACCCCAACTTTGATACTTGCACCTTAGACTCTGAAGCCTCGGCCCTCAACCCTCAGCCCTAAAACCGTGAAGCCCAAGCTTGAACCTTCAACCTCTGGCTTTGAACCATGATAAAGGCCTTGGGGAGAACTCGATATAAACAGGGTTGTGTAAAGAATGATACTATGGTTATAAAACCCCATTCCAGTGGCTTACTAGACAGGAATCTTCAAGTACGCACCATAGACCTAAGCACTAAATGAATTACGCAGCCCCTGAGCCCTAAATTGCCTCAAGCCCAAGCCTATTTTTTGTCCGAAGCTCATAGGAGGAGTGGTTGATGTCGTACTTCCACACCCTGACAATGGACTTTCTCAAAGCAGGATTTGGGACCTTGTTTTAGCGCTTGACCTTCTGTTGAGGATAGTAAATGACAATGCGAACAGCAGTATAGAATGGGACTTAACTGGGGAAAAGACGGGTAACATAGAAGTCCATCGAGAAGATTCTGTAAACCCTAAACCCTCTGTAAGAGCCTATGGACTTCTTGAAGCAATGTGGATTAAGGTATGGGGAGCTTGCAGGACCGCAGGGATGTAGGCATAGGTGAATTCCAAGGTACTTGTTGTAAGGATTATATGTCCAGGGCTTTTGCTGTCAAAGCTGGGATTAAGGTCTTGGCACATGATAGCTTATGGTTTTTCCCGGCTCTGCACGTTGCGGCTAGCATTCCCAGAGCTACATGGGAAGCCCCCTTTTGAGACATAGCTAAGTAAGCACGCTCTAGTCATGGGCACTTGAATTACACTAGAACTCTTACTATATCATAGCTATACTTACAATCAGCTATTTGCCAAAGCACTTGACGTATGCCCAACTTCCAACTACCCTAAAGCTTAGATGCTAGTCACTAATCCCTAAGCCCTAGATCGTCAGGCCTAGAACCCTGATTACCTGTGCATAACCCTATGCAGAACGACCCGTGAGCCACCACAGAAGGCATGAACCATGGACCACATTCTAGGAAAGTCCATATCTAAACAATGCTGGCCCTGGATCATGATGGTTAGGGCTTGGGGTTCAGGGTTTAGATCTTAAAGTTATCTCCATTGTTTGGAAATTGCGCGCTTTTAAGCTTCAACGCTCCAACCCCTTACCTTTTTTCCACAGGGCGTCAGCACTGCTACAAGGAATTGGATGATAACCCCAACGGCAAGAATCAGGACCCCTAACTATCCTACCACTAAGGTTACGAATCTTGGTATTAAGTTTGTCAAATTCGCTTCAATAACCCTAAATCTCCAAACCCTGAACCCTCCATTGATGTATCACACACATGTATCTATATCTTCACTACATTGTCTGCAACGGCCCCGGAATTCCCAAACCTCCAAACCCCGGCCTCACAGTGTAGTCCACGCCCCCGCTGACGATGAAATCTGCTGCTGCTGAGGCATCCACGCACGTTACACGTCCGTTGTGGCCTGTGCAACTCAATATGCGTTTGAAGATGGAGTAGCAGCAAGAGTAACAATACCTGTGAGAAACACAGAGAGAGAAAGAGAGAGAGAGAGAGAGAGAGAGACAGAGGAAACATAGCAGTTGTAATCAGCACATGCTGATTTTGAAAGTTGCGGGTTCAGGATTTAGGGCTGAAGCTTCTGCTTCATCAGTCTGATAACAAACAGAACGCAGGCGCATCTTTCTTCTTGAGTTTTAACACAGCGAAAATTGAAAGTTACATTCAACCAGGGTTACGCGTTGAGGTTGAGGGAATCAGGCCTGATGACTTAGGGCTTTTTGGGGGGAGTCCACGTGGTTCAGGAATACCTTACCCAGGATATAAAAGGGGAAACCCTAACCAACATCTTAGAATACCCCTAGCGTTACTGCTTGGCGTTTACGAAAACGTTCTGGGATTTATGTAAACCTAATCCCTCAACCCTATAAAAACTGTGCGGCTAGGGTTTCGGAGAGAAAGGCAACCCTGGCAGTAAGGAAAGAAGATTTGCTTCAAACCTGATCTGGGGTCCCGCAACCCCAAACACATCATCACCGAAAGAGAACCAAAACCTAAGATTCCTGGTGAAGGTCCAGTTCTTCGGTTTTTCAGGGATTGCAAGCTTCAATCCCTCACCTTCTAAGACCAAAAGCTCCGAACCCTAAACTTTAAAGTTTGAACCTTCAAACACCTCCTATCCCCAAAGACCCTCAACCCTCCCTCTATTTTCTTGAATTTAAGGGTCCCAGTACCCAAAACTGTACGGTTCACGGTTTGGTATTATTTGGGTGTAGGATGTAGCCATGCTGATCGTCATAGGGTTGGGGGCTTGGGATGTTGGGCGTATACCTATAGGGCTTAAGCCTCAAGCTTCCCAAACGACACAAACCCTAAACCCTAAATACTAGTTTTCATTTTCTTTTCCATTATCCCTATAAACCCCCTATATAACCCCATAATCCCTACATAACCTGAAGCCCCCCAACAAATGCCCCTATTGGAATGCCTCTTTTGCTCACAGTATCTTCTGTGAAAATTGAAGCTTGGAAGCTATGGAGGTAAACAAGACTCCCTGGTGCTTGGGAGAGCATGGGGGATGGATTATAGGGATCTAAAGGAATCATGACTGGGGATTATATAGGGCCCTGGGGGAAGAAAAACAGAATCAAGCGAGCCTGGGCTTCGACTGGTTTGCAATTTACTGGCATGAAGTAAGGTGGGCGTCACTCATAGACTTGGAGCCCCGAAGAGATCGCTACAATAAAGGGTGAATTCCTTTGACCTTGTTGCCGAGTCTGGTGCCTCGGTTGAAGAAGTGCTTGAAAGTCTCGACCAAGCTCCTCAGGAATCGGGGTTTGGG